TAGGTAAACGTGGATGAAAGAATTCAGTTGTTTAACTAAAAAGTTTTACAGTACAGTGTAACTATATTCTCACCATAAATTGACATAAGATTATTGTTATTATAAATGGATTTATTCAATATTAATCTTTGGTACAATATAGAATGCTCAGTACAAAGAATTTCAATAAATTTTCGTTTTCTTATTCCTTGATTGATCGTAATGATAAATATTGAATGATCTCCAGTTAGATGTTAGCAGTTCAAGAATTGACATCTGAATAATGTTGATTCTTGTCAATGAATATTGTCAGCAACCACAATGTCTCGGATTGTACTTTTTTGTAAGTTTTACGGTGAAAGATTGGAAACTTTTCATAATCGCAGCTGAATAGGTTATGAGATTAGTAGACATATTCACGTGTTAAGACAAACAATAAAAATAGATAACTTGTTGAAATATCTAGATGACAGGAACAAGTAACCCAGATATTCAAGGAGATTACCTGCGGACTTTTGAAAATCAAAGTACACTGAACAATTGTTTTATTCTATTTTGTGTTTCCTCACCACTATGATAGTGGTCAAACACTATCAGCAACAACCTAATGTGGAAGAGAACAAACAAGCAATCAGCGGAGGAAGAAGCGCTCAAAATAAATAGGACACACATTTAGAAAAGCGCCCAACTGCGTCACAAGGCAAGACCTCAATTAGAATCCTCAAAGTCGAATGAGAAGAGAAAGACCAAAGAACACAATACACTGAGAAATGGGGACAGACACGAGAAAAATTAACAAAAATTGGACAGAACTGGAAAGGAAGGCACTAGACAGAGTAGGTTGAAGAGTGCTAGGCGGTGGCCTATCCTCCATTAGGGGTATCAGGCGTAAGTAAGTAATGAATACATAACCCTAGAGGGAGTCAAACTTAAAAACAATATCGATATCACTATCATCGGACACACTTATCTGAACTTCAGTATTGATTACAATGTTGCTACTGAATTTCAGAAATTCTTCATACGCCACGATGATTGAACATCACTTAACGAAAACTAATTGAGCCGAAGTTTTTGTCAATAAACCACAAAAGATGATGAGATAGGTGAAAATGCAATAATTACAATGCATATAAGCGGACAATATGGATTTTTTATACTACTCTATATTAGAATGAAACCTGATAGAAATTTAGTTTTTGATTGGGATCATGTACCGATTGACCACCGTTGAAAACCTGGGAGCACTGGACGGTCATTTCGTTCTATTGTAAGACTCCTCAACAGTGTACATACACGATCCCGCTCCCGGGATTCGAACCTAGGGCCTATCGGTCTCGCTTGGGAACGATTAACATCTAGACCATTGAGATGGCTGGAATCCAAAGGTATAAATGTCTAACCCTAACCACTCCATGAGATTGCGCGACCGTCTTCCCGGGAGCGGGATCGTAGATCCGCACTGCTGAGGAGTCTTACAATAGAACGAAATGGCCGTCCAATGCTCCCAGGTTTTCAATGGTGGTTTAACATCAATCGGTTCATGATCTCAATCAAAATCTTATTAATCTCCACAACCCCTATACTGAGTAATTTAGTTCTCATAACTTATCATATAAAAAGTGTGAACTACATAATTGATAACAATCGGATTGTATTAGATATGCTTCTTTGTTAAAAATAATTCGATTTATATTCCATTTCATATGACCTTCAAATTAATAAGAACATTTCTGAAAAATATTGAATTTATTAAAACAAATCATTTTGTTGTTGATTAGGGGAATATTGAATTTACAATAATAACTTTTAGTCCAAGCCATGTTAGTAGATTTAGACTGTTTGGTTGGGGTCCACGTGACTATTGTAACCAATGGTTGGAGACTCTAGGTAATATATGGTTCAGAATCGATCACAAAAGCCTTGGTGTATACACTCTGTTTCTGCCCTTAAATCGTGAGATTAAAATTATTCTGTTCCTTTTTTCTATGAACTAATTCTTTCTCCATGTATCATGTTCTTATACAAAATCTTTCTTTTATATATTACCACCATTGAATTAACTACTTATATGAATTTGGTGTTTATCATACTGTGTTAATGATATGTGGCAACTCGTACCGATGCATGTATGTGCTTGGTCCTACGTTATAGCTGACTGACTAACTCCAGTCTACCGGTACACCAGAAAACATGGCCCGTTAAGGTAGACGTTGGTTGGATATGCGTAATGCATAAATTCCGTCCAATTTTCAATGTGAAAGTAAGCTTGTAAAAAATCGACAAGAAAGGTTCTGAAAATACTGACAAGTATCTTATTCTATCAGCATTCAGCAAAACTTTTGACAGAAACATCAAGAAAGTGAAAAGTCACATATCGGGTTTCTAATTGGATGATTACCTACACTGTTACTATGTTTAGTAACATTTCGGAATTTCCCGGAAACCCAAAGACATCTAAAACACTATAAAAATCCTAGGCTTTTTGTACATAAACGAACCTTTTGGAGTAAAGCATTTTCTTCCATATTTCATGCCTTTTCTCTCGTGTTCAAGTCGCTGTGTAGAACTAACTTGAATGTTACTAGAGTAGTTTAAGAACCGAATCTAATGTTCAATTAAGAGACTTTTCAATTTGTTAAACCAACTTAGTAGACATATATTTCATGTTAATCCAAGTATTATAATAAGATTTTAAGTTTTCGATTGAGATCATGAATTGACAGATGTTAGACCACCGTTGAAAACCTGGAAGCACTGGACGGCCGTTTCGTCCTAGTATGAGACTCCTCAGCAGTGCGCATCCACGATCTCGCTCGCCGGATTCGAACCCAGGGCCTTCAATCTCGCGCGCGAACGCTTAATCTACTGGACCACTGAGCCGGCATCCAATGGTGTTAGTGTCTAACATCAACCAATCCACAACCCCAATACTGATGATATTTTAAAATGCATTACATATATACAATTGTAACCGTAATCCTAAGAAAAGTCGCACTCAATATCAAACAATATGTTAGACAAATGAAGATGAGAAATTAGTATGTTCAATTGTTTTCTTTTTTGCATGGAGTAGGTGACTGGAAAATTTGAGTCGAAGACATTCAATCCATCGTGGTTTAAGACAATACTTACTTACGCCTGTTACTCCAAATAGAGCATAGGCCGCTGACCAGTATTCTCTAACCCACTCTGTCTTGAGCCTTCATTTAGAAGTTTAAGACAATACAGTAATGAAATACACTAGTGACCTAGTAGAGATTGAAATTATTATTTTTGAAACTAATAGTTGTGAGTTCGATAACATTAAGTTGACATTCGACTTTAGTTACAACTAATATCGATGATAAATATGTCACTTTGTCTTTACTAATTCAACGGATTCTAAGGTTAGGAGAGAACTAGATAGGGATTGGAAATAACGAATCTTTATCGACTGAAATGTTCATGAGGTTCATTACAAATGACTGATTACCGTCCACATCGATGTGAAGATTTCGCAGGTGCAGAAACAGGTTTGGAGACGAGACAGAAACTCATGAAGCTAATGCCTATCCAACTGAAACATTTAGGTAGATGCAGATTACCTGGTTGACATCGGCATGATTATCGTGACCAATCATTGAAGACGTTCAGTGAAACGACTTAAAATAGGTCTTAATGATGAAGACAGATTCACTTTCCTACCATAGATAGTGAACCTGAAAATTGCCTTATCGCAGTGCATGTACTCTATATTTTCTGTGAAAGAGGTGAAAACTTTCACATACCTGATAAAAATGGAGAATCTGATGCAGATGTGAAGGCACGGACTAGCAAAACAAGGGCAACATTCCCATAATTGATGAACATTTGCAAATCAGAACTGTCAGTTATCAAAGTCAGGATTTTCAAAATGAACTTCAAAACAATTCTATTGAACGAAGCTGAAATTTCGATAAGTACTTGAACCACGATCAGAAAACCACAGGCATTTATAAACAACTGCCTAAGCAAAATAATCAATGTCCGTCGGTTGGATAACATCAGTAGTAGTAGAAGCAGAGAATAATCTACTTTGCAGCTGATAAGGAAATTAGGAAAGGGGAACTGGCGAAGAATAGGACACACATTGCTAACATCATGAAACTGTATCACAAGACAAATTCTGAAGGCGAGAAAGAGGAAGGTAAAAGGACATATTTGGCGGGAAATTAGGGTTATACATCTAAAGAGTGAACAGCAATCGGAAACTGGAAAGGAGCTGGTTAGAGAATACTGGTTTGCAGCGTATGCTCCTATGAGGCGCAACGGGCGTATATACACGTCGAATCATTTCTACACTCACTGATATTATAACTGCTTCTCCTGTTCCAGCATTTTTCTGGATAATTCGATCTGATTATGATATAAGCTGATGTACAAACGTGCCATGTTGCTCTAAGTTGCGAATAACTAATTATATGTTATTATAGCTTTTGGTATGAAATCTTCCTCAATGCATACTATTTATTTGAACATATAAATATTGGGCACCAAATACATAAGCGCCGCAAAAGTCACTCTATTTGTGAGTGGGGTGATGACACCGCCCGGGTGACCAGACCGAAGTTGGTTTTCTTAAGGAGCCTCCGACCTAAAGATCTGATCCACAAGGAAGATGAATTCTAATGGTTGCCGGTGACCAACGATTGTTTCATATACCATTTATTCCTTCAGGATACTGGAGTTCGTACGCAGCCCTGTTTTGGAAACAGGGTTTTACAACTCCCCTAGGTGGATCTTCCATGTTCACCAACCCGGGTAAAGCGCCGGATATTCGCTTTCCGTTCTCTCAATTTCGTAGACAACCCCGCCGCGAGAAGGCAGTGAGTAGGACTTCGGTGGTAGTTTTTGTATACGCATGGCATTTTGTGAAGAGCGGACTCACCCCACCCTCGCCCGTACCAGGTAATTGGAGGAAGGGCACTGAATCGACTAAACATGATTTGTCATAAAAAGTCAGTGAGGTACACACACGTTACTTACTAATAACAAGATGATCAACTAATCTGAATTCTAGTATTTTAATATGAAGAAAAAAACAAAAGTCAATAGAAAGGGTAACAAATAGAATCTATGCATTTGTATATGAATATTTATGTATAGAGTATTATTAGTAATTTTTCTTTCAATGAATAATGTTAGTGAATAAAATGATAATACAAACGTGTACACACACATCGTCGTACATTGAGGGAGGGCCTAAGGAACTCACAAGAGGAGGAGTAGGTGTAAGTGTAGGAGAAGGAGGAAAAACGTGAAAAGCATGTCATATTTAGAAATGCAAAATGAATAAACACATACAGATTTAATTATAGTACACCATAAATATGTATGTAAATAGAAATTACATACACATATCACTAGGATACAGCAAAATAACGAGAGAGAGAGAGAGAGGAAACACAGCAACAATTTAGATGAGGACTATTCCAAGAAAAAGGAAAAAAACTTTTTAAAGAAAAGCAACAGATAAACCATTAATTTATTTTAATTTATATCCAGCGGTGAATGTAAACGTACACATACAGACACACACACACACAATCAATTTCAGAAGGCAAACAATTAAAAAAGAAATAGAAAGATGTTGGATAAATTTAACAAATGCCTAAACAGAATCAAACATTACCCATATCTGTATATTACGCATAATAGATTGTTGTTTTTTTTATTTTTAAAAAAAAGGTGTTTTACATGTAGTACATACACATCAATCCATCTAGACGTAAGGAATCCAATTGATCATTTTCCAATATTAAACAAACAAACAAGCACCACCACCCCATTAACTGAAAATTATACATTATAGATGATGATTATTATAAGTAGTAAACCATTATAAGTAGTACAAGTAAAAAAACACTAATGTCATGTTGTATTAGATAAAATATATGAAAAACAAAGGCACAATTACTACTTTTTTTTCCCCTTTCAATTACTCATATGTATATAAAAATACAGAAATAGGAATAGTTCACATACACAAACACAATTTATTAAGTACATCTAGTATATATACACATATATATGTAAATGTAAGAGTATCGATGTAACAATATCGAATGATATCAATGATTTGTAAATAAATCCTGACCAAATATATCATTGATAACATCAACAGAATAGGATAGATGAATAATAATACAATTTAAAAAGGGCGGTAATCAACAAAACATTTTAATGAACAAATATAAATTGACTGATAGATTATACTACAGATTTATTTAAGAGGAGAAGATAAGTAAACGTATACACGAGTTTTGTGTGCCAGTGTGTGTGTGTATGTATGTATGTATAGAAAAGAGTGAGAACATAAGAAATGCCTTGTTTATTTTTTCTTCCTCAAGTGACAAAAAAAAAGTTAGGGGAGGGGTGGGAAACGAAAATTTGCAAACATATCAAGATATCAATCACATGATAACAAAACACATACCTCTCTACCCATGGTCATAGAAATACAATCTCACAAAAGATCCAGTTAACGGGTTAATAGAAATCATGCAAAATCCAAAATTTGTAGACCAAATAAAGAAAGAAAGAGAAAAAGGACTGTTAGTTAGCTAATAAAGAACCGGACAAGAGTATGAAACAAATAAACATACAAACATGATAATGTAAAATTTTAATGTAAAAACATAAACACAATGGAATATCCATCCTTTCATTTATTTAATATTCAATGAAATAAGTCAGAAAATTACTATAATAGAACCTCATAAATTGTTGCATAATATATATATATTACAAAATCATGATTATTGTGCATATGTTTTTCTAATGCATACCCAAACACGATTATTAGCTACCTTATAATTGATGTATTCATGTGTACATTATATATATATATATATATATATATATATATATGTACGTCTTGTTCGTAAACAAGACGAAGGGGGGGGTAGAAAGAGGGTGGAGATAAGATCGAACTACAATCACATTACTATTATTATCATCATCATCATCATTATTGCCAACATGATCCGAACAAAGAAAACAAAACAAAATACACAACTAACAAACACATACAACATCAATTTCATGTGATTAAAAAATATAATAACAAATTGATAAGTAAACAACAAAACAAAAGAAAACAAAAAATAATAATAAAACTAAATTCAGAAAGGGAAAACAATCATACGAATTAAACAAAGAAAAAACAACAACAACAACAAATTACCGTAATTTATGTAAACTATCATCATTATTCTTTTTTTTAAAAAACAATTTCAATATATATATATAGATGTGTGTATATATATGCGTTAGAGAGAGGGGGGAAGGAAGAAAAGTACACAAAGGAGTCGAAGTATCAATTTAAAAACAAACAAACAAGATGACAAGGAAAATATGGGTTTGTTGTTATTGTTCAGAACAGGTATAAGATGGGGGGGGACAGTGGAATTTAGATGAGGGTAGGGGTGGGTGGACAGAGAAGTTGGGCGCATTACAAATAACTATATTTATTATTTATCATTTCATTGATACAATGTATTGTTATCACTGAATGAAATTCTATAATGAGCTAAGAGTGTAAGAGTGTAAGAGATAGATAGATAGACAACATATGTATATAAATTACATCATGTGGAAATCTATTTCATCAAGTGTTCTTTCTTTTAGTTCTGTGAGGCACTGACTGAATAACTGATATACATTAATGTAAACATTATCGTGTCATTGATATTGATGATGATAATGACGATGTAACAAAAAAAAAATAAAGGAAAAACAAACAAAAAAAAGAAAAAATAACAAGCAATACCAAATGCTTTGTAATTTTTTTTTCTATGAATAATACCATAAATAATAATGCTAATTATCATAATAATAGGAAACAAGTTGAACACCCATTAACACAGAGAGTGTATACAGACACACACACATACACATACAGATACATGTAAAGTGACTGATAAATGTGAATATTTGTTAGTGGATTAATCGGCGGCGACGGAATAGGGATCGGTCCCGGTGCTAATATCTTGATCACAAAAAAACAAAAACAAAAAAACATTAGAATCTGGATAGTTGATAGTGATGTTAACCATCGGAACTATGATTATTGACAGTTGTGACAACAGTGTTAGCAGGGGTATTAGCAGTAGTAGTAGTAGTAGTACTTATTATTGTAAGAGGAAGAGAAGAACTGCCAGAAGAATTATTAATAGTTGTGGCATTTATCCCAATTAATAAATGATTTGATTCACTATTTGGTATATTATTATTATTATGGTTGGTGTTAAAATCACATCTCATTATATTGGATGATGATAATTGTGAAATGGAATGAATAGTGGCCGATGAAGTTGACTGAGATCCATCAGCATTTAAACCTTTCAGACGAGAAGCTAGTGACTAAAGGTATAAAGAAAAATATAAACAGATACGATAAATACAGAGAAAAAAATATATATATAGCGTTTAAGTTAAATTTGACTATGCTTAACAATTGAGTTCAAGACGCGTGTTTCATCCTGTTCGAAACTTAACAGTAGGCCACAAATTCACAACAGTAACTGCATTCCAGTCTTGATAATGGCATTGAGACAAATCAAGACTATATCGAGTTTCACGCTGCTAGTTAAAACTTGTAAAAACAGGTAACCATCGAAGCAATCCACTAAGGATATATGAAATACTTACGCCAGTTACCCCTCATGGAGGAGCATCAGTCGCTCACCACCATTCTCCATCTAACTCTGTTCACGGCAATTCTTTCCAGTTGTTATTCATCCTTTTCATGACTGCCTCCAATTCCCGACGCAATGTGTTCTTTGGACTTCCTCTTTTCGACTTTCTTTCAGGATTCCACGTTAGGGATTGCCTCAAAATGCAATTCAATGATTTCTTCAATATATGTCCTATCCACTTTCACAGTCTTTTCCTAATTTCCTCTACAGAAGGAAGTTCATTTGTTCTCTCCCACAGTATGCTGTTGCTGATATTATCTGGCCAACGGACATGGAGTTTCTTACGTAGACAATTTTTTATAAATACTTTTATCTTTTGATGATGGTTTTGGCAGTTCTCTCTTTGTCATAGGTTTCATCTCGTTAGGAGGATAATTGTTGAGACGTTGTATATGATAGTAACTGTACAGTTGAGTCGGTAGTAGAACATTATTCTCTCGTAAACTCAATCATAAACATGACACAAGTCTTATTCATTATAAAAAATAAAATACATCAGAGTGAGCAACAGAGGAACTAAACCATCCTGAAAGCCTTGAAAATAACAAAATGAAGATAGCGCTTGTTGAGTAGATCCGCGATTTTCAAAACGGAATTATGGATAACTTACTACCGGTTATCTTTCTTCTTGATGAAATTTCAATTTATGGGTAAATTTGGTGGTAAATATAGTTATAGATTAGCTACAGAATGTTGGACTATTAAGTAAGTGAATATTATATAGGTGTGATCAATAAATGATATCACTGAGTAGCCACAGAGTTCGGAGATGTGATTATTTGATAAGTATTAAGGTTAGGAGTATTAATGTAAAGGAAGTGTTACATTTACAATGATATAATCATGATAGAAATATTTGGAATCTTTATATCATTTGCAACTTCATGCTTTTTACGCAATGTCTATTTCATTTGCAAAAGCTGTATTCTTATTGGTTGGTCATAAGATCGCTATTCCAATCAATCAAGAGCATTATCAGCACAGTTGAGTTCTAGTGCAAAAAACAAACTAGACATATCACAAATAAATTTGTAAAGGACAGGGCTTGTATAACACGAGGACGGTTTGGGAGGAAATTTTTAATTATATCCTTGCAAACTGAATCTATTAAGACTCGAAATGAATAAAAATAATCGAAATATAGTAATAATAAAGCGATTGCAAGAATAGTCAAATCTTATCATAAAGGTTAAAATCTCGTCAGAAACGGTAACCTCACGACCTTTGACCTCTGATTGTCACGTTCGTTAAATTGCTATATGCGTGAAAGTCTTAACTTCTGCTACCATAACAACAACGTTTGTACCAATTTCACTTGAGTTGCTTGTCATATCACAAATATCAAGTTACTTGCAATTCCGTCTTCTTCCTGTGTTAACTGTTGAAGTTTGATGTGTTGAATATAATTGGCTGTAGTCAGTTCCGAAGCAAACCGATTGTATTAGAGTAGCCGAGTCATTTTCGTTCCTAGATCCGTACTGAACCCCACAACAATTAGCTACGGGAATGGCTGTTAAAAGTTTTGCTGATAAGCTTGAACAACAGCTCAAACTGATTGATTTACTTACGCCTGTTACATTTCGTGGAGCAAAAAAGGCCGCCAACTAGCACTCTCCATCCAACTCTGTCCTATGCAATCCTTTTCATTTATTTCCAGTTGATATTCATCCTTTTGTAGTCTCCTTCCGATTCTTCGGTCTTCCTCATTTAAGTTTTCCTTCAGGATCCCAAGTTATCGTCTAACTCATTATGCAGTCTGTTGATTTCCGCAATGGATGAGATATTATCTAATACCCAAATCACTAAGAACGCATTGCCATCAATCTACCCATTTGAATTTATGCTTGATAGAAAACCAGTAATATTGCTGAGTTTAATTATGACCCATCCTTAAATATAACATTTGACACCTGGTCTCGTCGTTACGAAGATATATTTAATGTTGATTTCAGAGATTTAGAAGACTCTTGGAAAGTACGCATTTTTTTTTTACGGAAACTCGACGCAGCGGAACTTCACTTATTTAGCTGTTTGGTAACCGATTTTCAATTTTTAATTCTTGTTATTGATGCATGAAGTTAGTAATAAACGAAAAGGACGATTTTTTTTTTCATACATGTTGGAATGAACTTTATCTTGAAGTCCTAACTCTTAGCTCCGAATTGTGAATTAGATCGTAATCTGGTGATATAACATTTAATGAATGAACTTATTAGATAGTACATCTAGTATTTTTCAAAAAAATTCATTCATCCATTTGGCTAAAAACCATTTTTAAATGACATTGGATATTACTATAAATCTATATAAAAATAACATGGAAACTCTTAAAAATCTATTCAGTTCCTATTAGAAATTTGAAAAAGCAGATAAGCTACATCTATTTGAGTAGATTTATATATCATTATTTTTCCAATGTACAGAGGAAGTAACTCATAGAAAGCAATATAAGATGTATTATTTTATAGAAAACTTGTTTACATTTTGAAATAGCAATGTTTGCTACTCCCAACCGTTGTTGCTACCTTGATGTGGTGGTTGGGTTTACAACTGTGCTATACTGGCTGGAACAACCGTTCCTCTAGATCCTACCATGTCAGACAGGTCGGTTGAAGAGCGGTAAGACTAAAAGCAACAAATCCAAGGTCCGAAGGCGAAGTCGTACTGCTCACTGTACAGAGGTGTGACAACAGCAGTAAGGTGTTTCCTTCAGACAACCAGCATAACAGCGATGCTGCTTCCTACAAGGAGGGGTGGGGTTAGAAAAGGTCGACCCTAAAAATGCACTGCGGTCACGCTCACAGGTCGCTATGACCACATCTAATCCAATTTCCTTTTCAGGCACCTCCAGCAGAACCCTTCCACGGTGTGGGCAACCGGGAATTGATAACCACCCTCATACCTCTAACAGCACTCAAGACCACATATAAAATATCCATTTATAAAAAGGTATTCTCTGATTGATTAAAAACTAACTGGAAATTCACTGAGGTTATTTTAAGCTTGCCCCTTGACTATACCTACTAACTTCAAGAAATTATCTTTGCCTTCCTTCTCACCTTACATATTCAACAAATGAAATATATACTATTGCAATAAACATTAGCATCGATATGTTTCTATTATATACACAAATTCGATATAAACATATCAAACAATGAAAGTATTTTGAAATAATGAGAATATATACATAGACATATGTGTACATTTTGTAAAACTGTTCCACATACAATGTATAGACCAAAGAATTTTTATAACAAAACAAATTACCTGAATCTCTTGTAGATGAAGTAGTGCTTCAGTAGGTGTAATTAATTTAATTGATCCATAACAACCAGTAGTCTGTTGTTGTCCGTTATTATTATTATTATTACTATTACCACCTTCTAAAGTGTCATGAACAATAGACACATGTGTAGGACTATTCAATCCTAGCAGAACCCAACGTGCTGACATATTCGGATGAATTTCAAAATCAATATCATTATTATTACCATTACTACCAATAGAAGTAGTATTAGAATTTCTATCACTGGATTCCACAGATCGAAGGATATGATTGTTTAATGCTGAGGATACAGTCATTTTTAACATTCCAACTGATATATGCGGTGGAATGTTATGCGCTAGAAGCCATGATTTACTCGATATAGAAATGGGAATAATGGGATGATAATCTATACCACTGTTGTGTATTTCGTCAATTTCATTAACAGCAGCACCAAACGATTGTCGTCTTGTATCATTCATTGAATTAGTGACATCGTTCATCATATCTGACCATCTAGGATCACCAAGTGATGAGAGTTGAGATGATATAAACGGTGGTGGTAGTCTACTGCTACTATTGCCACTGACGCCACCAACAACTCCACCATTGCCACCACCACCACCACTACTACCAGAGGGTGTCCAACGCCTGTCAGTTGTTAATGAATTACGATTATTTGAAAAATTCTCGTGTAATTGTGGACTAGAACCCGACCAAGGACTAGATTCCCATAATAAAGAATCTTTAAAAAGGAAAACAAAGAGAGAAAATAAATAAGTGTTCATCAAACTTTGGAGAGTGGACATGAAAAATCTTCTCATACCCAATCAAATAAATCAGCAAATAGAAAGAAGGAACATTAAAAACTATGATACCAATGGTAATACATGCACCAAGTTAACAACAGTACAATTTTTTGATTGGCTTATATCATGAATTCACCTTAGTTAAACAACCACTGGAAACGAAAAATAAATCTAAATATATTTAGCAGTAATTATGCAACAGCTTAGCAGCTATAAATCTTACGATCCTAAGGAGGGTCGGATATAAAATCTGTGAAAGGTTTGAGGTGCTTAGACGCCAATAGTATAGTAGGAAGCTTGCGCAAGAATGTAAATTTCCTCAAACCAAAAATGCAAACCATCAGATATTAATTCAGTGGCCTAAAGATTAAGAGCTTTCTGTAAAACCTCAATATAGTGACTTTGATTACCTACGGGGTTAGAAGTAGGCATTCATTAGAAATCATATAGCTGGACAAAACAGCTATCCAATGCTCTTCGTTTTCTAACAGTTTCCAAACTAAGGTTTGTTTGTCATATATCGTCACAAATTAATAGGAACCTTATTCAATATTTGTATCAATTAAATGGTTGAAAGTGTTAATGTAGCAATTCGGAAATAACAACAGCTGATAAAAGATGAATTGTGCAAAACAAATGCCAATAAATATATTTGTCAAAACATCATTTATAACAAAACAGTAGGCTTTCAATCATCAGACGAACACATGTGTTTAACCTACTTCAGTTCACGGAGTCAAATGGTTGTGGTGTACAAGTTATGAGGTTGACCAAGCATTATTGGAGAACCCTATTGATTTCACTGGCAGGAAAACCTTATTTTGAAGCACATAAACCCGCTACATGAATATGTTTTCACGGGAAATCGAAAACACTCGGGACTTAGTGAGTGAGCGTCATTACTACATGGGACCAATACACATTATATGCACGTCGGTATCACAAACTTTCACTTACAATCAGTCAGTCATCTACAACGTAGGACCAGGTACATATATGCGCATCAGTCCAAGTTGCCACACCTCATTAGCATAACAAGATGAACACCAACTTCATAGAAGCAGGGATAAAGAATTAGTTTGTAGAAAAGTATAAAGTAATTCTAATCTCACAGTGTTAGGGAAGACAAAAAGTGTGAACACCTACACCATTATGATCGATCCTGAGCCACATCACCCAGTCTTCACTACTGGTTAAAATGGTCGCGTGGACCCCAGCTAAGTAGTCTGTATCGACCAACATTGCTCAGACTAGAAGTTAGTGACTTCAAGGACTGACGCCACGTTATGGTTTGGTCGTCCCTAACTTTCTTCCAGGGTCCAACACTATCAGCATTGTACAACATGGTATTCAGTGATTGGGCATGCGTAATACACGACCCAACCATCTCAGTGAATATAGATTCACAACATCAACTGATTTGCCATCATTACCTAATACCTTGCGTCTAACCTCACCCGGTGACCTCAGCAGATGAGGGTAATATTTCTAAGACATCCCGACCATTACTACTATCTTGACGTGATGAACCAATCGGGTTATACTAACTGAAACGATACCACGGTATGGGGCAACCGGGAAGTGACAACCATACTCAGACATCTGACAGCACTTAAGACCGATACATACACAATAAGTATGCATGTTAACAAATCATTTAATAAGGATACTTCAAAACTAAGTCATCAATGCAAGTGAATTTCATCATTTATTAACCATTCAACAAGAATATCTTTGATGAAAACAAAAAAAACACTAAAAATATGTGTCCACTGAATCTTCCAATTTGGTAGTAGCATACATTGAATTCAACCTTATGATTTACTTTCAATAAATTAATTAAATTGACTATTTCTATTATAATATTATTAAGAAAGAATAGTTATTACTGAAATAAATGTCGATTTAACTTACTCATATTAAAATTTGATTGATCCGGTAGAAAATCAATATTTTCCGAACTATTATTATTATTATTATTACTACTACCGACTACAGAAATATTTAATGGTTGATTTGTTTTGTTACAACCACTAATCATATTGCCACTTTGTGTTGAAATAGGACACCATGATGATGATGATAATGCAGATGTGGAAGATATTGATGAACTATTACTATTAGTCAATAAATTAAATCCACTACAATTGACTGGATTAGTTGTCCCTGTTAAACAATTAGGAATTATGTGTTGTACATTAGTAACTGTTTGACCAGTAGTACCACCGCCAACAATCATACCACTACTTGTTAATAACGATGATGGTGTAACAGTGGTAATATTAGTAGTGTTTAAATTTTGAGATGGATTAGATAAATTTGATGAAGACATAGTAATTTGTCGTAGCATACCAGCTTGACTACGTACATGTTTTAATTGAGCCTGTTGAGCATCGATTTGTTGACCAACTTGAAATGCTTGTAATTGTAATTCATGTATAACAGGATTTGTAGCAAATGGAACATTCGTTGCTGAACGAATATGCGAGAGTTTTTGATTTAAATCCTGTTAAAAAAAAACAAAAATGAGAAAGTCATTAATGAGTTTGTCTTTATTTCAGAGGTATTGAAAGATAAGATGTCATCGTGAGTCATTCATTCTTAAGCAACGTAAATTCCGGCATATATCTGCATCGGTACAAGGTTCCATATTATATCAGTACAATGAAATGAAATTATCAAAATGAATATCAAAATAATAAACGTGGTAAGTGGAGTCATTTTGACCGATTTTCAATGACGTTAGCCAACATTCCTAACCACTAGTTACAATCATAGTGCAAACTCCAGTCAGATAGCCTGTACGTGACAAAATAAACCACGTCAGCAGTCATTCACTTCATAGACTGACACAGTGTATCTTCTAACTTACTCTCACATTGAAAGACAGCTTATCACCGTAGGTGGTGAGCGGGGACAGGTAACACTTCTCTCAACTAACTCAGTTATGAAGACTTACTAACTCGTTTGCCAGTTTCACTTCTGAACCTAGTATTCTGCTTCAAAACTTAGTATTATTTACTGGATGGTTCGAAGATACAAGACAAAGGCTTTGAAGTTTTTAACCATCTTGATTATAGCAATGATAATAAAAAAAACTAAGGAATAAATTGAATTTAACCAAAATGACACTGTACAAACAAGTTAATCATAATTGATACAAGTGTAAACTAAAAAGAAAATTATCAAAACACAGTAAGTGAAATTAAAAAATATGCAGTTGCAAATAATTTAAACTTAGAGGCAAATGAGGGGGTACGTAATCTATGCCAGCGTATGTGTGTGATTGTTCTCGAACTCCAAACATCACTTAAAGTCATCAAAATTACAGGTCGTGTATGCAAGATTAGATGCGAATTTAGATCAGCCTACACACACACACGCTTCATATCAGCAAAATGAGAGCAAACAAACCACACAAAAAAAACATGAAAATCAACAGAAATGTAAACATGTAAAACATAGTTCCAACAACAAATATGAATGAAATTGAATAGATGAGTAGTATATCATCATAAAACAAGCACACGGAACCTAGAAAAGAAAGCATATAGAGTAAATGCAACCAACTACACCTAATCGTAACGTATTCTAGACTATTTTATCAGCTAACGTCTTCATCTGCACATTACAATTATTCAATAAATCTAAAATTGAAAATATAAATCTACGTATGCAGCACATTCCAAAAGCTGGTGATATTATAGATATTAATAGCAAAATTGAACTTGGTAGTTTCAAATAAATCCCAATAAGCGGAAAAATTGTGTTACTGACGTTTCGTAACCTAATGTAAGTCGCTTCTTCAGAGTACTATTGTACTACTTAAACTTATGATATTTTGATTCGGTTACTAATTTACTCTGAAGTAGTGAGTTACATGAAGTCATGAAATGACAGAAATACAATTTATCTATTCATTAGGATATAACGAAAATATATTTGTTATTAGTTAGTCTTTATTTTCGAACTAATGATAATCGAGACAACATTGTGTCCAGGTAAGTATAACGAGTAGACAATTGTAACAAATATACTAATGACTTTATAAGAGGATTAATTGATTAACTTTTTGAGTTTGTTATCTTAATATTTAAAGTATAAAAATACCAACCAGTTGTTTAAACCCATGTAATTGGAGATAGATACGAGTTTGTGAAATAGTAGCAGTAGTAGTAGTAGTTACTTAAGCCTGTTACTCCTCGTGAATGAGCATAAGCCGCTCACTAGCATTCTCCCTCCAACCCTATTCTGGGCAATCCTTTCCAGCTCTTTCCAGTTCTTATTCATCCTTTTCATATCTGCTTCTATTTCTCGAAGTAATGTGTTTTTTGGCCTTCCTCTTTTCCACTCCCCTTCAGGATTCCAAGTTAGCGATTGTCTCGTGATGCAGTTTGAGGATTTCCTCAATGTATGTCCTATCCATTTCCATCGTCTTTTCCTAATTTCCTCTTCAGCTGGAAGTTGGTTGGTTCTCTCCCACAGTAGGCTGGTGCTGATGGTATCCAGCCAATGGATGTTGAGTATCTTGAGTAGGCAGCTATTGATAAATACTTGTACCTTCTTGATGGTGGCTGTTTTAGTTCTCTAAGTTTCAGCTCCGCACAGTAGAACTGTCTTGACGTTCGTATTGAAGATTGTGACTCTGATATTGGTTGAAAGTTGTTTTGAGTTCTATTTATTCTTCACTTGTAGGAATGCGACCTTTGCTTTGCCAATCCTCGTCTTTTAATCTGCATCTAAACCTCCTTGTTTATTGATGATGCTTCCCATGTATGTGAAAGATTCTACATCCTCCAGAGTTTGGCCATCAAGAGTGATTGGATTGCTGTTCTCTGTGTTGAATTTGAGGACCTTGGTTTTCCCCTTGTGTATGTGTGTATGCAGAGACTGCTGCTACACTGACTGTCTATCTGTATTTGTTCGTGTGTATTGAATAGGAGGGCCAGGTCATTTGCGAAGTCTAAATCATCTAAATGGTTCTGATCTGTCCATTGTATACCATGTTTTCCCTCAGATCTCGAGGTGTTTATAATCCAGTCGACCATCAGAAGAAAGAGGAAGAGAGAGAGAGTAGTAGTTAAAAGTCAAATGATTTAACCGTCAAGACCATTGTTATAAGATTCACAGTTAGTTAATATACTCACACATATATGAACAGGTAAATTTAAGTAATCTAAAGTAGTAAATAATCAAATATTCTCAATTACAATATATTTAAATTAAATAAGGAATATAAAAGAAAGAAAGAAAGATGAAAATTTATTAAATAAACAATAGTTTATGTATAATTTTATATAATTTATAACTTACTTGATGTTTTGAATGTAATTGTACAATAGTTTGAAGTATTTGTGTTTCACGTTGTTGAAGTAATTGTAATGATAATTCTAAATTTTCTGTAGGTTGATTATTATTACTAACTGGTATATTAGATTTCATCATCTATGTATATATATATATATAAAATAAACGAATACATCAATTAATATCGGTTACAGAAATGTAAACAGATGAAGAAAGGTAAGAAGTAGAAATAGAGTGAATGAGAATTGAATGTTTAAACCATTGAGTCATAGTACAAATGTGTTGGGATGATCCAGAAAAATTCTCGCAAAAGACACACAAGGTTCAAGAAACATTAAGTAGCATTTCATTCAATCAGCGTTCACTTGGAGTTTAGCCTGAACAATTAAGGATGTGAAACGTCATATGTAGAGGTTCTGATTGGCTGATTACTTATACTGTTACTATGTTTAGTAGCATTCCAGAATCTTCGAGCAACCCAAGGGCATTTAGAATATTATAAAAACCCTCAATTTTCTGTATTAGAATGAACTTTGGAGTAAAGTACTTTTCGCATACTTTGCGCCTTCTCTCTCGTGTTCAGGTCGCTGGATAGTTCTAGCTTGGGGGTTTCAGAATAATTTAGGAATCGAGTATAACGTTCAAAATCGCAAGACTTATCAAAATGAATAGTCAATAAGTAATGATGTGTTGGATTTATTGAATGGAGGTACTTTTATATTGGACTTCAAGTTACAATTCATTCAATTTAAAATGGATTAGATTAACCCGTTGGTGGTATTTTGATTGAATTTACATCAATCTTAGTTAGACTATGTGCAGCCTATGAAGATTATTAACGCGATATAGCTATTATGAAACAAGTTTACATAAAACAGCTTGAACATGCTTAGCGGTGGAATGTATGACGCATGTTTAGTCTAATTCAGGACTCGGCAGTTGGATCTACTAGAATTCCACAGTTGACGTCCACTTCAGTGAACATGAAATCAAAACAAATAGCATAGTATTAATTGAATCATACTGATTGAAAACCATTCATCTATAATGTAAAATCTTAGGTGTAAAATATTTGAATAGTTACTTAGATTTTGAGATTTAGTTTAAAGTCAATGACAGGAATAGTTGCAGATGGAAACAAATTGTACCTTAGCAGTAGTATGTTATTAAAAGTGTTACATTCTCTGAACAGAACGATTTATTTGTAAAGCTTTCCTCGTTATCTTCAACAATAACATCAAAGCATAATTCAAGCAGAAATCAGTTTTTTTTCTTAAAAAAAAACTTCGTAAGTGATTGTAATAATGTCAGTCAGTCAACAACGTAGAACTTCGTACGTACATACATCAGTTCGAGTTGCCATACAAAATTAGCACAGAGATGCACTTATCGATTCAAATCCCATAATTATGTTGTTTGTAAACGTTTGGTTATCTTAGTATCTTATTTTTACGATTAACTTGTTTAATTGATTTATGATCAAGTGATCAATTAACCTTTGCTATATGGATTGATAAAATTAGATCTAAGTGTAAGTCAAAACAATATCCACTCTGTTCAAAATTAATTTTTAATTGATAGTGTTAAATTCATAGTTATATACGCTATTGGATTATTCAATCTATATAAAATGGAAGGAAATGATTGTATTGTGTCATCAGTGGACTAAGTCATGTTGGTAGGTGTAGACTACCTGGTTGGGGTCCGCGAGACGATAGCAACCGATGGTTAGAGACCTTGAATGACATGGCTCAAAATCGTTTGCAATGGCGCAAGTGCATCCACTCTCTGTTTTCTCTCAAATTCTAATCTTCTGTATTCTTCATATCTTTTATTTTCTTTACGAATCTATTCCACTGGACTATACTCCTTAAATAACATCATCAAACCCTAATGTTCCCTATCACTACTTATACTTTTAGTATCTCTACCACTATGGGATTTGAATCGATAACTGAATCTCTGTGCTAATGTGGTATGGCAACTCGAACTGATGTACGTACATAAGAAGTTCCACGTTGTTACTGACTGACTGATTGTGTCATCAGATAGACTCTAAGCTTTTGTGATGGTTTTGAAAATGTTTTCCAATACATAATAGAACAATCTGATTTATAGACATGATTTTTCTTTTTGCTGAGTAAATTTCGTGAAGTACTTTTATGAAAAAAACAGAGTTATTGGGGATGTTAGATCCCCAGAACTCACTTGGTAAATGCCTTAATTTTGTAATTTTATTTTGGAAATTTGAATTTCCTTGTTTTCGCGCCGAAAGCGCTCTTTTCACCTTCACGTCGTATTTCCCACTTGGGAGAATCTTTAACGCTATTGGTCCGTTACGTATTATAGTATTCTATTTTTGCGACGCTTCCCAAGGACAGTATTATGCAGTATATATACATTTGATTTGTGCCCGTTATCGTTGGCTCGTTTCTGACTGTTTGCAGAATATACTTCTTCCTCTAGTTAGCGGGTCTGGGACGCATCAAATAGCTAGCTTTGGTCACCGAGTCTTGTTCTCGTTCGCAGATTAGGTGAACTCGTGATAGCAAGAGTGAAGATATATATCTTCGATTTCACGAGCAGGAATAGTGGAATGATCATAAAGCTACTCTGAGGCGCTGATTAACTTAGCATCTAATAGAACAATGATAAATTCGCAATTAAATTATTTAGTTTAATGAAAGTATTACTACCAGGAAAAGTAAATAAAATGTACTGTAAGATAGACAGACAGATAAACCTTATTACCTCATTTCCTCGCATTGAATTAATAGAACGATTGGGATTTGTACTTTGTCCAGGAAGATCTGATTGTTGTCTAACATCATTTGAATTAAGTGTAGGCAACAAATTGGAAGTGATTGGTCTCAGCGCATTGATTAATTCATCAATACCTGGATGGCCTGATCGATCACGTAAGTCAACTAAAAGATGGTATAATTGATAAACAATGTAAGTTATCTTTCTTTAGCAACAATTATGCAATAAACTGATAATTTTTTCGCATTGGAGATTATGTAATAGAATGTGAGAAAAGTTCTTTTTTGAATTTATAATTATCAGTTTAGGGGTTGTGGAGATTATTAAATTTTTGATTGAGATTATGAACTGATTGATGTTAGACCACCATTGAAAAAGTGGAAGCACTGGAAGGCCGTTTCATCCTAGTGTGAGACTCCTCAGCAGTGTGCACTCACGATCCCGCTCGCGGGATTCAAACCCAGGACTGGCTTACATTATGAACTGACTTAACAGTTAAACAATAGAGTTGTTGTAAATAAAAGTACCGTTTTAATATAAAGGACATATTAGCAACCAAAATCTTCAAATTTCTCGTAGCGAGTAGGTTACCTTTAGATTGTTCTAAGTTGATATAAACTGTATCATAGTTTCATAATATTGATCTTACGTTCTTAAATAAATAGTCTATTTATATATTTGCCTATAATGTCTAAAACGTATGGCATCCAATGATGCATCACACAAATGAATTGATAATATTGTGAAGAAATAAAAGAGAGATGCGATGAATGATTGATAAATAAATAAATAATGATAGTAATTAATATGTGATACAGTTCAGTCAGATATACAGCCAAGAAAGACGCTTCTCAGTTAATAGACAATGTCTCTCTGTTTCGTAAGAGTGGAGACAAAAATCACTGAGGGAGTACTAACGACTTCTATTCTGAGAGATGTCTAATGCCGTGTCAATACGCTGGAGTTACACAAACTCTCTATAATGACAATCAAGAAGCTGTAATACACAAACAATTGTTATTTCTATACAGGTATCTTTAATATCGTGGCGTCAAGTCATGCACTAACTATATTTGTATGATATAAGGACTTTTGTTAGAAAGAGTTGTTCTATTTTGTCGTAAAGCTTTGTAGTTGTTCCTGATAATACTAAACATATGAGTGAAATTTTTGATAATTTCAATTCTAGTAAAAGGTTATAATAGCTAGGTGCGGATACAAACATGACTATGAACTAATTAAACTGAAATAAAACTTACTCAATGCTCGTTCCACATTTGTATTTGTATCAGCGAATATAGGTTGTATTTCATCTTCAGTAAAACCCAAGTTAAAAAGTTGACGCATTACATGAGCACGAATCATACTCTGTTGTTGTAATTGATGTGAATGCTGTTGTGGACTCATAAACATACGTTGTGACATGGGTGTTGACGAAAAACCGGGAGTTATGGGTGGATAGAAGGCACTTTGAGGCGTTCTAAATGACTGGTTTACACCACGAGCGGGAGTTAATGACGAAGGAAACTCTGAGGTACCAATTTGTTGCGAAACTCGAGGAGCTATGCTTTGAGTAGGTTGATTGAAAAATCCTCCAGCACTACTACTATCCATCCCAGAAGCATTAGTTGACCAAGGTCCTGGAACAGTGCCTGGGCGTCGTTGGTCTGTATGTGGCCATATGCCTTGCATATGTGTAGTTGTTGCACCAGGAGGCCATCTCATACCAGTAGAAGTCATATTAGGCATTACATGGGGTGTTGGATGTTGTTGCTTACCAGGTAAACGATTCATATTCTGTCCGGGCCACCGAGACTTATTACCGAAATTAATCCCAGGAACAGAAGGGTCAACTATAAATAAACCCAATATAATTCAAAATTAAATGATGAATTATATCAATGTATCGACAGAAATGAAATAGAAAACAAAGTGTCAACTTATACTGTATGAAAAATAAATCAGAAGAGATTGTTTTGAAATGTCACATCAAGAATAGAAGAATAGCTGAAAGAAATAAGGTCGTAAATTTTATAAATTCCTCAAATATCACCTATAGACTTCGCCAAAAGTTATCCAACACAAAAATTAACAGTTAAATAATATGCAGTTAGTGTTTAGTTATTAATTTGTTCCGCTAATCTAACTGATACATATTCAAACAACACCAACTATTACATTAGTTTTGAGAGTTTAAGTATACCGATCATAGTTACTGTTGCGTATGTCAACAGTGAAATGAGATTAAACTGTTGGCCAGGTATCCAATTATAAATACAGAGATGTTGTTAAAAGTAAATGACAAATTTTAAAAAAAACGATGTTCAGCTAAGAGATCTCTTTCCAACGAATTTATTATCATTCTACCAATTCACAAGTTGATTTCAAGGTTGTTTATACAATTCGTTCAAATATACCTAGATTTCTTTGTATCCAACACCTTAGAACACCAAAAGCTCTTACCATCCATGAACTCAAGTCAGAACTGAGAGTACAAAAGCAGTACATCCTATCATTACTTTGACGTTATTCTATTATTAAATTTCGTATTTAAAAATATCCCCTTCTCCCTTTACTTACGTCTCATACCCACATGATTTTATTCAGCATTATTGTTGAGATCACTTTCATTTAATTTTGTACCTCTATTACCTTTAATTATTGTAAGAAAAACATTTTAATAGGTGATTTCATCAGTCGATCTAAGCTAGACCACCAGTGAAAACATGGAAGAACTGGACGGTCGTTTCGCTTTAGTATGGAATTCCTTAGCAGCGCGCATCCACAGTCCCGCATATGGGACTCGGACCCAGGACCTTCGGTCTCGCGCATGAACACTTAACCTCTAGACCACTGAGCAGGCATCCAACGGTGTTAAATCGACTCCTGAATTCAACTATTAGAATTGCTACAATCTCAACAATCCCCCATTCTGATAAAAGCATTTAAATCATCTTACTTCATTTATATTGTAATCCATTGCTAACTTATTAACCCTCTATTTGCACACACACACACACATACACGCTATCATCTATTGTTACTACCCATATTGCATAATCTAGTAAGATAATCTTCCTGATACATTATCATGTCTATTCCTTGTTTATATATCATCACAGAATTAATGCCCTAACAAAAATTTTCAAATATATATATATATATATATATATATATATATATATATATATATATATATATGTGCCCTGGTACGGCCGAGAGTAGGCAGTCAGATCTCCCTCTCCAAATGCTCTCACGTGCATACAACCACTACCATGGCAGTCCTACTCACCACCTTCTCGCGGCAGGGGTGTTGTTTATGAAATTGAGAAGATGAAATGCAAATGTCCGGTGCCTTAACCGGGTTGGTGGATATGGAGAATTCACTTGGGGGAGTTGGAAAACCCTGATTCCAAACCAATTGTGTGCATGGACTCCAGTATCCTGAAGGAATAAATGGCGTATGAACCAATCGTTTGTCACCGGCTACCATGGGACGGCATCTCCTTACGTTGCTCAACTGTTTTATGGACCAGACCTTTAGGGCTTCCTGCTAGGCAGTAAGCAGGACCGATAAATACTCTAGACTGCTCATACGAGTTTACACTTCACTGCTCTCTAATTCAAGGTTACCAATGTTTATGTGTTTAAGTTATATATATAAGATTGTACAGTTTGATAATAAATTTGTTGAAGACAGATACCTTCGCTGAACTTCGTGTTTTTAATGTTTAAATGAAAGGTCAAAAGCATTTCAATACTAGTTTTATTTACTTGAATAAGAGTAAACTTGAAAATGGAACCTTTTCAACATTTATATATAATGATTACATACAGTTGAAATAGATAAGAATCAATCAATGAATAAATCAGAAAAGATTGAAAACAACAACAACGACAACAAACCACTGAACTGATAACTGTATGAATTACATATAAATTTATCATTAGTAATTTATTGAATGAAAATCTTATTTGATATATGTAGTTTACACCCAGTATCTTAATCATATAATATATTTCTGAACGATGTTCTAGCAATATCTACGACTGAGGAACATATAAAAAAATCAAAACAATTGTCAACTGTCAACACAAAACTTAGAATCTTCAATACGAATGTCAAGACAGTTCTACTGTATGGGGCGGAAACCTGGAAAACCAAGAAAGCCATTATCCAGAAGATACAGGTGTTTATTAACAGCTGTCTACGCAAAATACTTCGGATCTGTTGGCCAGATACTATCAGCAACAACCTATTGTGGAAGAGAACAAACCAGATGCCGGAGGAGGAAGTGCTGGAACCGGATAGGACATATATTGAGGAAAGCACCCAACTGCGTCACAAGGCAAGCCCTCACATGGAATTCTCAACACCAAAGAACACATTGCGTCAAGAAATGGAGACAGACATGAGAAAAATTGGATAGAACTGGAAAGGAAGGCCCAGGACAGAGTGAGTTGGAGAATGTTGGTTGGTGGTGTAAGTAAGTGTTCCAGCAATGTCAATGCAACAATTTTTAGTCTATTCATAATATATTTCTTGTTAAATAGATATATAACCTAGAATTGATCTTGCCTATCGTATCGGCTTAGTCACATTATAACGGTTAAGATGTATTGCAATATATATGTAGAGGTGGATTGGAAAGAAGAAAAAAATCTTGCCAGATTATAAGTACAAAAAATGTTACTTCTGATTAAAAATTATTTGAATGGATAATGTTATCTCATTTATGATAGAAACTATCAGACTAACTCTACAAATAGTTAAAATGAATTTATCTGTTCTCTATGACTATTTAATAATCATTAACATGAAAATGAAAATTTTTACAAACCTGGTTGTGTTCCCGAGGTATAGGGCCAAGAAACTCCTGAACCAAGATTCACCGGATTAGCTATTGGGAAACCTCTAGATGAACCACCACCACTACCGGTTCCCGTTATATTACTATTAGCAGGTCCTATTGGATGATTTCCACCGAAAATCGGTCTTGTTCCCAAATTCATAACACTCGAATTTGAAGGTGGTTGTCCCAAAGGAAATATAGTCCCCGGGACTGCACGATTGATTCCACGAAAACTTTCAGTATTTGGTGGCAGTTGACCTTGTTGAGGTCGAGATCTAATAGTGGGATGTGAAGTTTGATTAGAAGTGAAATTAGGAGGATTGATAAGTTGTGATAAAAATGGAGCCTGAGATGTTTGTGTAGAATTACTACTATTTTGATGCCATCGGGCAGTTCTCTCACCAAGACTTTCATAATGGGACTCCCAAATCCCAGTACCGTTTGGAGGTTCACTTGGCCAAACATTTGACTCTAGATCTCTGTTAAATGAAGAAGCTGTGGAGCTAAGACGCCTGGAATGTAAAGATGACTGAGAACCTGTCGGCTGGATAGTTGACACTCCACTAGATTGATTATGACCTGAAATTCGTGATGCAGTAGATGTTTCACTCACAGGTGGAGATCCTGTAGTCGGTCCAGAGGAATGTATTGACAAGCAGTCACCATTTGCTTCAGAACAATTCCATGGTGTGCTTTGATCAACTGGATGAATACCCCATGGTTCAGTTGTATTAACCGCAGTGCGAATAGCTTCCTCGGCATCACATACCGAAGAGTCGATATCGGAACTAGACTTTTTTAAACTAGTTTGTCCAATATCAAATTCTGATAACTTGTTACTACCACGTGTATTATTATTTATGTTAGAAGAAAGTGATTGATTTTCAATAAAATCAGAAGGATTGCCGAATCCACTGACAGAATTATTACTATTATTATTAATGTTAATACTTGATAAAGGAAAAGCCAATCCAGATCGATCATCTGAATCAAAGGAAAAAAAAGAAAACAAATAGATTTTATCGAAATAGATGAGATCTTTTATAAATGATAAAATAGCAAACATAGAATTCAGAGAAGGGTTTTCCATGGTGATTTAGCTTTAATTAACTTATGAATACAACTATTAAACATAGAATTACTTTGAATATAGATTTCCACTTGACAAAACATACAAAATAATAAATGATATTTGATATCAGTGCAAATAATAGACTAGAAATATTGATGAACATTTTACCAGATAAATGAAGGTATATAATGTTCCAAAATAAATAAAAGATGTAGGATATGACTTAACTACATGACACAGGTTTATATGATAGGCTATGAAGTAAACTAATATAATAAAATGAACAAATAACCCATTTAAATTAAACCTATTTCTAAATTAGTGAAACTCAGGATAAAGGATTAATGCAATTTACATAAAATGATAAGTAGAAACAAATGGAAACGTTTCATTCATTAAGAGGTGTATTAATGTTTTAAAATATTCAGCTTTTAACTGTTCCAGGTTCGAAATCCGCTTTACCAACTTCGGTTTGAGCAATGGGTAGTATTATAATCCTTCATACTGAGTATGGTTTATGTCACAATACCTGATGAGTGAGCCAGTTATGTAATTTACCCATCCACTGAAAGTGATTAGTATGTTTAAATTAGTTCAATCAGGTACACAGCTATTATCATACTACAAATACTCATTTAATACGTACAGGTTTATGCACCAGACTTTAAACCATATTGTTTGTGTGAGCACTAACGATACTACTACTGAGCTGTCTGAAACCAAAATAGACAGATAAGATTACTCCAATGCTTAGTAAATTATGATCAGTGCCTATACAATACAAGGTAAAGATGAATAAACTCTTGTTTGGACATTATCTTAGATCAACTAAGTTTCAATAATCCTAATCAATTACTTTGCCATCCTTACCTAGTACCCGTTTCCTAACAACTGCATTATTTACTCGGTGGTCCCAGGATATACGAGCAATGTTTCGAAGACACTTATGATCAAATACTAGTAACCTACGAATATCCTCTACTCTTACTGGCCATGTTTCACTGCCATAAAGTAGGACGGAACGAACTGCTGCGCCGTAAACACGTCCTTTGGTTGATAAACGGATATTTCGCCTACGCCACAAATGATGCAAGTTGGCAAAAGCTAGTCGAGCCTTCGCAATGATCGTGAACAGTGGTGAGTAGCAAAAGCAAGAGAAATAGAAAAGGCAGCGGCAATAGGTAACAGCAGGCAACTGTTCAGACTTCTTAAGGAAACCTGCATTAGGAACCCAACTGTTAGCGAAACTATCTCGGGAAAAGATGGACATATTATTCATTCTCAATCCAAGAGATTGGATCGATGGGCAGAACACTTTAGGGATCAGTTCAACTGGCCTTCAGCCACACTTCGGTTTTCCACAATCTCCAGTCGACCTGAATGGCAAGTTGATGTAAGTCCTCCGACTCTTTACGAAGTTAAAAAAGCTATAGGAAATCTGAAGCGAGGGAGAGCAACAGGCCCTGACAGGTTTACCCCTGAGATTTTTAAGGAAGGCGGTCCAGTATTAGCAGCGAGATTGACTGAGGTCTTAGGTAGAATCTGGGAACTGGACGTAATCCCATCTGACTGGTCTCAATCACTGATTGTGCCAGTCTATAAGAAAGGACAAAAGTTCTCCTGTGACAATCACAGAGGAATTAGTTTGACTAATATAGTGTCTAAAATATTAGCTTCAATAATTCTTCGACACCAAACTAAAGCTCGTGGAGAACAGACTAGAGAAAATCAGGCTGGTTTTCGACCTGGACGTGGTTGTATAGACCAAATATTCACACTACGTCAGGTCCTAGAACATAGACACACATTCAGACGTCCCACAATGGTAGTATTTCTCGACCTTAAGGCGGCACTTGACTCTGTTGATCGTGAGGTTCTGTGACAGTGTTTGTCACTGAAAGGAGTACCAAAGAAGTACGTCAACCTTATAAAGGCTCTCTACTCAAACACAACTGGTCGAGTGAGAGCTTATGGCGAACTGTCATGAGAATTGATTACCTCAAGTGGTGTTCGTCAGGGCTGTCCACTCTCCCCATTCTTGTTTAACTTTGTTGTTGACGTCCTTTTAGAGATGACACTTTCCTCATCTAAATTTCCAGGAGTTGAACTTTTACCGAGAGATCCACTTATTGACTTAGAATATGCCGATGACATAGTTCTATTTGGTGAAGACGCTGACAAAATGCAGAGTCTTCTGACCACCCTAAACAACAATGCAGGCATGTTCGGCATGCGATTTTCTCCCTCAAATTGCAAAATGTTGCTTCAGGATTGGGTTGCATCGGCACCCAAACTAGTGATAGGGAGTGAAGTTGTTGAGCGTGTCGACAGCTTAACTTATCTTGGGAGTCTCATCAGCACTTGTGGTTTAGTGTGTGACGAAATCTCAGCACGGATACAGAAGGCTCGACTAGCTTTTGCCAACTTGCATCATTTGTGGCGTAGGCGAAATATCCGTTTATCAACCAAAGGACGTGTTTACTGCGCAGCAGTTCGTTCCGTCCTACTTTATGGCAGTGAAACATGGCCAGTAAGAGTAGAGGATATTCGTAGGTTACTAGTATTTGATCATAAGTGTCTTCGAAACATTGCTCGTATATCCTGGGACCACCGAGTAAGTAATTCAGTTGTTAGGAAACGGGTACTAGGTAAGGATGGCAAGTCAATTGATGAAGTAGTGAAACTTGATCAGTTGAGATGTCTGGGAACATGTGTTACGTATGCCCAACCACCGACTACCTCGACGTGCGATGTTTACTGGTGTTAGAGTAGGTTGGAAGAAAGGTAGAGGCGGCCAGACCAAAACGTGGCACAAATCCATGAAGTCACTAACAAGTGAACTGAGTCATGTTGGTAGGTGTAGACTACCTGGTTGTGGACCGCGAGACGATAGCAACCAATGTTTAGAGACCTTGAATGACATGGCTCAAAATCGTTTGCAATCGCGCAGGTGCATCCACTCTCTGTGTTCTCTCAAATTCTAATCTTCTGTATTCTTCATATCTTTTATTTTCTTTCCAAATCTATTCCACTGGACTATACTCCTTAAATAACATCATCAAACCCTAATGTTCCCTATCACTACTTATACTTTTAGTATCTCTACCACTATGGGATTTGAATCGAGAACTGAATCTCTGTACTAATGTGATATAGCAACTCGAACTGATGTACGTACGTACGAAGTTCCACGTTGCTACTGACTGACTGACTGATCTACTACATATTGCATAATAGATGACGTAATTAGCATTCATTGTTCCTTATTAACTTACACTGGTAGATGAACCTACAACCTACAAATTGAGCAGGAAATCTTTAGTATAATCTAAAATAATCACACTCTTGTATGCCACTGCATGGAAAATAAGTTGCCATGACTGACTATTTCAATGTACATATAACAGTTTACTTGTTCCCATGGAATTAGTTGATACAGATCATTGAGGCCACTTCTTTCTTGCATTCGGATACATCTACCGACATGCATAAGCAATCGACAATATGTGTCAATTACTTCATCTATTCTGCACCATGCAGTGACAATAAATCAAAATTTAATAATGAATTCTAAGTGTTAGAAAAACGTCATAGTAACAAATGCACAATTCCATATATCAATAGGAAAAGATGTTCAGTTTTGGAAAGGTAGGACAAATAAACACACATACCATTTAACAAATCTTGTTCATTATTCAATGTTGTCCAATGCTGCATATAACGACGAGAACGATCTGAATTCAATGTATCCGACGGTGTGTTTGCTAAGGTTACAACATTACTTAATTGTTGACCAGTAATTGCTCGGGGCGCAGTAATAGAACAATTATTATTTGGATTATCGAAAGACCATGGATTAAGAGCTTGTATATGATTATTACTGATAGGAAATGTATTAGGTGAACCTAATAGAGAGCTGACATTTGAAGTTGTTTGACCTGAAAAAGGTGTGGTTGCCCACTATGCAAAAAATTATGTGTTGGAATAAGTGAAATACATAATAAATTAAGTAGGAAAAAATAGTGACTCTAAAAAATATATTTTCTGGAATACTGAAGATCGCTCAGTCCTACTTTAGTCTATCATTATTCTATTACCTAGTATTCATCGGACGCTACTCCACTTGACTGGTCCCCAAAAGAAATCACAATTTGGGTAAGAACGTAATAACATTCCAAACAAAACACCAAATCAACTAGGTTCATACAGTAAGAAAATATCGGTGTATTTATAATTTTTATACTGGACATCTCTGGTAATCCACTAGCGTTAACTGGTTGAACGTTGGCCAATTAGTATGGTATCTGAATCAAGTTTTAATTGTATTTCTATCCTGTTAACAAGGGACTATTCGTAGGTTGTTAGTACTAGATCATACATATCTTGGAAGCATCGCTTGTGTATCTTGGGACTACCAAGTGAGTAATGCTAAGGTTAGGCATAGAGTATAGTCTAAGTACCACCTACCTTGACGAGTGATGTTTGGTGAAGAAATATGTTGGAAAAATAAATAAAAGCTCTAAATGTGACATTACTTCATGGATTCATTGACAAGTGGATCAAGATACCCCTGTTATTACGTACAGGATATCTGGTTGGGGTACAAGTGATTATCATGACTAGTGGTAGGAGAGTTTTGGTGATATAGCTTAGAATGGTTCGCTATGCCGCAGATGCATTTACACCTTGTTTTCCCTTAGAACATGAGCCTTGAAATCATCCTATGCTTTTTTTCTCCTTTTTCTATTATTATTATTATTATTATTATTATTATTATTATTATTATTATTATTATTATTATTATTATTATTATTATTATTATTATTAGTTGAACGAATAGATATTGGTGCAAGGAGGTACCAAATACATATGCGCCATATAAATTTCATTCGATTTGTGTGAGAGCTGTGATACTTCCCGGGTGCCCAAACAGAAGCAGGTGGTTTTATTAGGGGGCTACACCCCGAGCCTTCGACCTGAAGGTCTGATACACAAGACAGTGGAGCATCGTAAGGAAATGCAGTCTCATGGTAGTCGATGACCAACGATTGGTTCATACGCCATTTGTTCTCGCAAGATACTGGAG